AGGCCTATAGTATCCATAGCGTGAGTAGTGATGTTCACAACATCTGTGAGGCACTGGAAGAACTGAGCCCTGTTCTCCTCGGCCAACAGCTCCTTATGGCTCGAACAATTGGAACCATCGATGGTCACTTCGTAGCGAGGCCATTGAGAGAGGTCGACCTTGTCCTTAAGTTCAGCAGGGCAGAGAAAAAGGTGCTCCAAGGGAGCTGATATTGGGTTCTGCTCAGCGTATACTCTGATGAAAGGATGTGCAGCTGAGGAAGCGAAGACTGCTGTGAGGAGGGCCTCAACAGTCAGCAAAAGCACCCATAGAAATGACATGATGGAAGCCAACCTGTGATAGTCTACACTCAATGAACACTGCAAACGGAAGGGCTTGGGTGAAATACAAATGATACGCACATGTATGGATTGAATGTAACGACACAAACGTCTGTCTCCTTTCCGCAACCAACCGCTCCATGGTAGTGTTACACACTATTCGGAGGGCTGCGAACTTGGCGGTAGGAAGATGACGGAGTTGAAGTAGATGACGGAATGCTTGTGGAACGAAATCTTTTGAATACGAAAAAATACAACAGTGCTATACCAAAAAAAGACATGCAAGCTACGAAAGACACCGATATGAAGGGATTAGAATATTCCTTCAAGGGTTGATGTGACTCCAATAATGAGGTAGTCTCCACTTCTCTTAGAGTGACTGTGCTATTATATGACGGGGATGCTAGTGATCCCTTAGATGTGTTCTTAGGACTTACTATTATCACTGGGTTAGCAGCGGTAGTCTCTGCAAACACCTTCGAACTGATATCCTCCTTCGTGAGGCTCGAGTTTTCGAGGGGCTTCGCGTGTTGAGCATCGAAGTTGGGTGAATGCTTATGAGCTATTTCGTCATGAAGTGTTTGACCAACTACCAAACGATAGGAGCCGTACTTGTAATTGCGGGGGATCTCTTTCATGTTAATCAGACGTAAACTAGTGGGGCCAAAGTGCGACTTGAGGGCGGCCTCTGGGTTGGCGGGTACTCGAACATTTACGCCGTTCATATGATCCCATCGAGTCGGTAGTAGGTCATCCAGAAGGCCACACTGGTCACCGGGGGAAGACCGACATACGGTGATGGTGGACGATGGTGATGCGTTGACAGGAAGAGGGCAGCGACCACAGGGCGAGCCGGGATCGCTCGATTGAAGCATTTGGAAGACGTCGGCATGGCAGGAGACGCCGTGGTAGTTGTGCGTGACACGTATCTCGCTAGTGTTGCAACCCTCCCACTCGTCAGGGCTCAATTCAGAGCCAATCCCGTATTTGACGGCGACCACACGATAGCGGGAATCATCGGGTAAATACTCCTGTAGAAGGGATGCCATGTTCTTATGATGGATGGTGGCGTGGGTCGAGAAGGCCTTCCGACAATGACTCTGCATGATGAGGAGATCGCCATCGACATCCCAGGGTATATGATTCTTATCGTGTCGTTGCCAACCTAATAGGGTACCATCGATGATGGTCGCATCGACACCCAACCTGTCCAATGCATGTGTGGTGACGTTGATCACCTCCGTTAGACACTTCAAAAAATCTCCTCTGCCCTTGAACTCCATGAGCTCATCATAATCCATACAAAGTGTACTGTTGATAATAACCTCCTCTGACGGCCAGGACGTTAAGTTCACACCATCTGTTACATTCATCGGGCAGAGGAATAGATTCTCCGATGGCGCATGGTCAACCTCCTTTTCGGGAAAGACTCGAATGAACCTCTCAGCCTCAATAGTAACAGCAAAGATGCCTATAAAGCGACAAATCCACATCCAGTAGGGAGGCCAGTGAGTGTATGATGAGAAGAAAACACTGAAGGGACCACATAGGCAACGATCAGAGCTGCACGCGCCGCCCACTGTAAGGTACGGCGAAGACGGATTGCTAAGACCCGGGTTGAACTCGAAACCTACATGCTGAAAGATAAATATATTGTCATCGTGCCAAGGCTGAATGCCCGGACGTAATCACCACAGAAAAGCTGATAACAGCGAAGAGTGAAATGAACCCAATTTTACGCTCGTATCATACGGGAGCCACCGATGAGCGAATGACGATATTTGAAAAACCGCCAAATCAAAATAAGAACGAATAAAAAAAGCAAAGACAAATAAATGGAGACCGCTGGGAAATTGTTACGACTATTGTGAGAGTCTAATACCGCGCTCTCCGAAACGCGAGTGAGACCAGCCAACTCGGCACCGGAAAGGAATTTATCAACAGGTTTCCGAGTGGTGATTTGTTCTATTGAGATCGCTGCTCGGCCGACCACAAGCATTGTGCTATGGAATTCGTAGTTACCAGGAATCTTCTGGAGGTTGAGAAGGCTTAAAGGGGATGTTCCGTACTCAGATTTAAGGGCTTCCGAAACATTATTCGGCACCTTAACATCTCCATCGGCGTCCATATGGTCCCATCTAGTTGGGAAGTAGTTTTCATACAATCCACAAGCATTATGTTGCTGATGACGGCAAGTAACGATTTTACTCGAGTTGAAACCAGGACAATCCTCACAAGGATGATCGGGGTCGGAGGACTGAACTAGCTGAAAGATGTCCACATGACAAGTGCTACTGTCAGAGTAGTGGATAACGCGGAGTTCCGATACCTCACAGCCTTCCCACTCATTAGGGTCCAATTCGGATCCGACACCGAATACGATACCAGCCACACGATAGCGGGAGTCGTCGAGTAGATACTCCTGTAGAAGGGATGCCATGTTCTTATGATGGGTGGTGGCGTGGGTAGAGAAGGCCTTCCGACAATGACTCTGCATGATGAGGAGATCGCCATCGACATCCCAGGGTATATGATTCTTATCATGTCGCTGCCAACCTATCAAAGTACCATCGATGATGGCCGCATCGACACCCAACCTGTCCAATGCATGTGTGGTGGTGTTGATCACCTCCGTTAAACACTTCAAAAAATCTCCTCTGCCGTTGAACTCCATGAGCTCATCATAATCCATACAAAGTGTACCGTTGATAGTAACCTCCTTTGACGGCCAGGACGTTAAGTTCACACCATCTGTTACATTCATCGGGCAGAGGAATAGATTCTCCAGTGGCGCGGTGGCGACCAAATCCTCAGCGAAGACTTGAATGAAAGGGTGTTTTCCAGAAGCCGTTACCCCACAGCATCCGCGAAGGGACAATAGCAGCTCTACACAGCGTAACCGCATTTACGGTATGAAAGTCCTAAACAATGCCACACACAGCATGCGGATCTTTCAACGCACCCCAATCTGTGCAATCTCCCTTTATATCCAATACTTACACTTGAGACCGCCATCCCATCGCAAAGGCGCGGTAAGACACAAGCCTTTTATTAATCTCATCCCCAACCCTACACAACCGTTTTGGAAACAACATGGTAACGAGACTATTGCACCTGTTATACCAGTCGGGAGAGTTAGTAGACATAGAACTTAACAAATGAGGAAGGTGTCTCAAATCCATGTTGATTTCAACAAGCTCTGAAAAGGTGTACACCTTCCCCAAGGCCAAAGATGATGCCACTTCCCTGCAACTGTTCAATCTCAAATTAAACTGAGTATCGTTGTTAACCACTTGGGAAACCAAAGCAGTAATTAAAGGAATCTAGAGATTCTACCAACAATCATACTCATAAAACCATCCACTAGCTTCGAGCTAAGCTAAGATTCCATAGTGGTGCACACTGCACAAGTACAATAGTGGAGTTTCACCTGTTTCTCGTGAAGTGGTGAAAAACCCGATATTCGCGGTATGCAGTAGTCATGAATAATATTATTGACTAGCATTTTTCATATCACGGGTGAAACTCCAACATACTCAGTATACAGCTGGGACAATACAGCGGCACTTAGTAGTGTTGAACGACATGATGCAGGGGCTGTTCGCTCCCTCCTATTCGTGGTTGTGAATCAGATGGATGGACAATGAAAAGGACGAACAGGTTAGCGCACGCCGACGCAATCGATAAAGTCCTATGAACGAACATCTCGGATGAACGAACACTGAAACATTGGTCGTTTACTCAATGAATATTACCGCTATAGATTGGGCGCAAGGGGACGCTACGTTCCAACAAAGGAACGCAACAGAAGACGTCCACGTTCAGAAACATCCACACTCATAATAACACACACGAAACTGTATGATTTGCATTTCCAGCTTACAGCTCGATATCCATCCGGCCCTGAAGGCGGCTCTTTCTGCTGTTAGAAATCTGCTATTATCCAACTTCGGACCAGTGGCTTTTACCGGCATCATTGTGGTGCCACATGGATGTCTAAAGGATTCTTGGGCAACGGCGGGCCGGAAGCTGGCCTACTCCAAGGTCTTGAGCACACTCTCCGCCCCGAGGCCGTGTGGTACTAATTTTTCATGAAGCGAGGTGTAACACTCCATGAAGACTATCTAAGTATCACAACCACTATCATTGATCTGAATGCCAGTCTTACCACGTGATCCTACTGCCAACATACATTATCTATTGCCTCCTTACAGGCACATTAGTGTGTTTGAATTTCTTCATGGTGCGGGGATATCTTTCCCTGTGAGAAGTGCATAGGGAGGGGTTTGTGCAGCAGTGCGTAATTTGAGGATTCCCACTGTTAAATCCTCCCAGGTTACGAAGCTTAAAGGGAATTCAACTCGTTGTTGTAGTGTTGTTGTTGCTCTCACACTTCTCGAATGTTAGCAGCGCTGAGACGAGGATGGACAGGTGAGGTTATCCCGTGGTTGAAAACAGGGAAGAAATTATCGGCTTCGTGGGAAATGACTATAGGAGTTTTCATTTATGGAGGGACTCGGAGGACCTGTTCGTATGAAGCAGTCGATGATCTGTTGAGGAGGCTCCCACTATAGTCTTGAGTCCGAACTTTGATGTGCTATTCATACGCGACGCACTAGCATAGCGTCAGTACACCATCTTAGGGTGAATTCGGCATGCTGGTAGCATTTATGCTCTTTAACTAGAGTCGGTGTGTTTTTAAATTACCATCTATCTCGCGTGAATTTTGGGCGAAACAGTGATAAGGTGAGCGGGAGTATTTTTGAAAAAAATCTATATATTATTAGAAATTATGTTAATGAGTTCACCTAAGCTGCAAACGCCCTAAGCCTGAGGCGACGTTCTCTTCCGACAGGTGCGGTTCAGACTTGCCCGTTTTCTATTGTAGGTTCGTTTGTGAGTAGCTCGGGAGCTCGAGGGATACTCGATAACGGCTTGCTGTCGTCAGTAAGATATATGAAAAGTCTGGGGAAATTCTTGTTGGTTTGTGTGGAGTTTCACCCGAATGTAAACTACTATCATTAGTGAGGAAACTCCTGAGCTTAGCTGAGCAAAGCGAACGTATACTCCAATACTGGCGTCACTTCTGATGGTCTATACAAAGTCGTAGGTCGTGAGTTTCCAACAACAGAGCAGTGCTGGATTCGCAACGTGGCAGCCCGGACAGAGGGGAACCAGACGGATGAGGTTCTCGAGGATGGGCACCACTCTGGTACCCTCGTTGTGGAAATGGTAGGTCGATGAGGAGGGGGGTTCACCTGAGAAGTGGCGGATTTAAGGTATCATCGACATGGATATTGGGCGACGAGAAAAAAGAACCTTCATTTTACTAAGAAGAGGTAAGCATGTGAGAGAAATCATAATTAGAATCTTGGAAATTCGACTTTCACCACCACAAATGTAATGTATGATTTTGTTGAATTTTTGAACGTCAGGGAGTGTATAAAACAGTTGAAGATATTTTTATGCCAGACCACACAAGTTCCATCTCGCAGTGGGTTTCGGAAAGCGAGCTAATTCGTATAAGAAGATGTACGTCGGCAGCAGGAAGGATAATTCCTATTATAAACCGATAAAGAATTACTGCCGTTTTTGATGAGCATGTTTCGGAGTATTTGTGATGCAGTTTGTTTCCAATTTGTGACGATGTAGTCAATTGATCTCTGAGTGGTGATGAGAAATCGTATAGATTTCCAATTTCGATTCTTGCTATAGTTGAAAAGTAGCATACTTCTACGAGTTACAGGGGGTGGGCCCTCATTCACTAAACACTCTCTATATAGCTATAGTGCCCAAAGGGACTCTACTGTATGAGGCTGCGAACTTGTAACGCAACGGTGTAGATAGCCGAGCCGGACCAGTCAAAAAACTTCTCGGACTATATATGGGTTTCCAAATATGAAAAGTCCTGCTGGTACTGTGGATTGCACTCGAAATAGAAGACGCCTACATGTTATTGCAGTCCCTGACACTAAAACCTCAAATGAATGACAAAAACGTAACGGACGAGTCGAATCTGCGATACGAGTGCGGACATTTGCTGATGACTGTATTTGGTCGAGAAAGGTTGCGGAGGGACGCTGCCCTGTTGGAATTCGTAGAGGAGCTGCAGAGTGGCACATGCCCTAGTGAAAGGTGCGCATCTACATTATGGAACTTTAAATGTCGAACTAGGTTGAGATATGAACTCGACGAACTAAGTAGAGTTTTATATCGTCGGATTGAGGCCCTACAGAGGAGTTCGCCGAGGTCGATGAACAGTACAAGTCCACACACGCCGAGAAGTGACGGGAGTGTTCGGGGCGAACAACGCATGGGGCTGTTGAAGAAAGCGGCGGATTGCTTTGGTGAGTCAGCAGGCAGATTGCGACGCCGGATTCAGTGAAGGATGAAAAAGGATCGCCTCCTGCTCGAAATCATCCGATACGATCGTCGAATCGTGCTTGCACGAAAATTCTTTGCCGTTGTCGTCTCTCTTACACGTGAGCTGTGATTCACTCTTAACCTTCGCGCGCTCTGTTGATAACTTCCCCGTCAGTAAGATAACGCATTTCATGTTCGCCTTCCCGACTCCCCTATATCCGATAATCAGCTACTTTCAAGTCCTCGCTCACTCAAGTTTAATCAGTCTATGACACGAATCATGATAGTCTCCGCTATATGTAACGACCGTTCTTATCGACCTAGTTAACGACGCTCTCACCAAGGCATGAGATCTCCCAAGATGTCCTCATACATGTGAAGTTTATAATGATCATTGATATACACTGTAACACTACAGGTTATCGCATATTTGATAATGTACCAATGTAGACTGTCCTATCTTGTTGTTACTACCATGATATCATGAAGCCTTCCTATAACCTATGATACTTGAATAACAAGATAATAACAAGACAATATACCCATAGATATGTGAATCAGTCGTGACATTTGATCTCTTCTGACGTGTCTTACTCGTCAGAAATAGTGGGGGCTGAATACAAAATAGCATCGATGGAAGAGGAATTGAGAAGTCTGCGAGCGCGGCAAGGTGAAGCGCAGGCGATCGTGGATTGCCTTATGACGAACCTTGACAGTCGGTGAGTCAAAGCTGATCGACGACGGAGTTGTGTTGCACTTTGAATCAGATTGCATACAGATGAGAAAGAGGTAGTTTATAGTCGCCTGCGTGACCTGTATTGTTGTTTGAGTTCATGTGCGGATCATTGACAGCATGATCATGATGACGTGTGCTTTCATCTGCATCAACTTGGATTGGATCATAGTGGGATTTGAAGATTGAAAGTCACAATTTTTTAAATTCGCTCGATCAGTAGTTGGGATCATTTCAACCTTTCACGCGTGTTGAGATCTCCCATTACAGCTTCCTAGCAGAGAGAGCGACGGGGAGGCCCACGGCCACCCGCGTCGAAAGCTTCCGTACTGGCACCTCGTACCAATCGGAAGTTGCAATTTGTGAAGGTATGTTATGGCATGCGCAGCCCAACATGAGCCCGACATCGAATAGACTCACATGGGAGGACGCTATACATGTGGACGAGAGCGCGAGTTGCTATCTCATTATTCAGCACATATCTGTCGGATATCACCGCGTGACAGACAGTATTATGGTCGCGCTTGGATGTATCTTGTTATTACATTATGCTTCTACCAGACCACGATCGCTGAAATCACCTAATAACTTAGTAACAGACTGTTACTAATAGTACCTGGTGATACCAAGTACTTGCTACTAGCAAGTTGTTGCTAGTTTCGGCAAACAGAACCGTTGTTGACATCAGCGCGGTTTATTGTTGCTACTTTTACGATTGCTTTTGCGAGCTCTGCGTTACATTAAGATGCCACCGAGTAGAAGTTCCTTGTGTTGTACATATCGTTTTGATGAGGTCCTCATCTGAGGACGAGGAAGATGCGAACTGATGTCGACAGTGAATTCACATCGGCTAACGAAGGTGTAGTCGACAATATCCAAACTGAAATTCGATGATGATGATGATAATGGAGAACATGTAACGTTACTTTACCTCAGCCTTTTGAGTCAACTGCTCTAAAGGCACCGTTAAGCCCCTTCCTGATGGACACTATTGATATAAAGAAGTCCTCATCACATTTGAGCATGCGGTTAATGAGGGGCACGGAAGATCTATCAAGTCCCTTCTTGTGGCTGATTAAGAAGAGACTGTCCTTTAGGCATCGCTAGTCGAGGAAAGCGGAGTAGTGCTAGAGGATCCTGCATGTATAGTATGGTCATCATAACAGGCAGGGAAGGGTCTGATCAGAGAATCAATGGTAGGAGAGTGAAATCTCGCACTGCGAAGATTCTATCGTGGCAGGGATATATGAACGTCTGGACGAAGACTACGATGGGCGACCAGTGTATATGAAGATGCAAGCGAAACGAGATCAGCTGAATGGTCGGATGCAAGTAACTCAGCAGATCATTCGAAAGATGCGAAACGATGTCGAACGAGTTAATAGGTACCCATCGATTGCTATTGCGTCATAGTTAGAGAACTCATAAGATCTCGCCGAGATTCGTAAAGCAAGTTCATGACCTCATGACGCGGATTGATTCTGAAATACCGTACTCACAGCAACCCCAAGATCTGAGCCATAGAGATGGACAGATGCTGGATTATATATGGTCAGATGATACAGAGCAGCTGGACAGAACGCAAGGACAGTTACCGGGGACGACAGAAGTGCTGTGGGTGCAGTGTTGGAAGAATATATGTTTACATATGACTTAGGACTTTACATATGAGTTCGGGTAGAAATGTAGAGAAACCAACAAGGATTTCCCAAGAACTTGTGTTGAGCATGGCATGCTCAGCATGCGTAATGTGTCGAATTCCGGCAAGGCGTACTGAACAAATATGCATACTAATACTCCATTGATCCCATGGGCAAACTCACCGAGTCAAAATCATTGCAGTATGTGCTTTCCCCTACAAGCCTTGGCAAGGCTTGTAGCCGTATGAATGACATTCATACGTTATTCCGCTAGTCCAGCTTAGCTGGACTAGTTTCATCAGTTCGTTCCTGGGGAGTATCGTTCAGGTACGGAGAGTGAAAGAGCCATAACAGGAGAGAGCCTGAAAGCCCAGTACGATCTCGACGCATGTCGGCGCGAGCCAAAGGCGAACGCAAGGAGTTGTCTTGTCGCAGTTTCATACTCACCGCAAAGGATATGTGTTAAGTCAACCTCTCATGAGGTATGTTCATCAGTTTACTGATGAACTGGAGTGATCATGTAGTAAGGAAGGCCATGCCTCGAGTTTCTTTACCCAACCCATCCCGCCCGTGCAGGAGAGAGCTGTGATCCTGATGCTCTACTCGGTTGAGTAACCTCGGTGGCAATACGGATCGCTAGGCCTGCGTTCGAAGACTTGACGTCCATGCAGCCTAGTTGGCGGAGTGGTAGAGTTCAGATCTACCACCAGTGCCATCCAGACTCGATTCCTGATATTGATGCGTGATAGCCAGGACCTGGCTCAGCCAGGCTGGCTGCCAGGTCGTCATTGACGAAACCCGAATCGGCGACTCGTTGAGGAACGTCAAGTCTCCGATACCTTTCTCCCGATCTCCTGTGCACCGGCGGCTTCACCAAACTATCTGCCCAATCTCGACACATTATGATCATGTTCAGTATAATCCCGACATTGCTGTATATATTGTTAAGTGATTTGCCTATTGAGATAACACCACACTAAAAAGCAGGTGAATTCTGCCTTGCAAGGCAGCAGCCTGTTTATACTTAATCGATATAGACTATCCTCATCATAAGCTTCGCTGAGGGGTTCCGCCACCCGATGAAGACACATTGTGTGCTACGGGGGATTGGGACAATGATGATGCACAATCATCTTGGAATATCGTGATCACTCGAATCACTAGGTATATCTCCCCCGGAGTCAGGCATGCCCCAGCATACGCACGCTGTGCTGGGAGGGTGTCACCAATAACCACAGATCCCTCCTTTACTGGAGGCCATGACTCTCCATGGGAAGTGTTCGGGTAAGACGGCAAGTAACGCTTAGTGATGATGAACTCCATTATTTCACCTTGTAGAGGCCTACGTGTTCGACCCGTCAGTTGTCGTATTGCCTTCTGGTGGTGGAGGGGGAGCTCCAGAAAGCAGTGGAAGTTGGAGGGAACCAATACCTTGTTGAGAAACAACTGTATCCAGACCTGGAGATGGGTTCACATATAACGATGTGCCGATATCTATACGATTCTATCGAGCTGCTAAGTTAGTAACTGTTCCTAGTGTGCGGTAGTGCGTAACACTACGGACTGCATAATGTAGAGAAAGCCTTTTACGAAGAAATTGTTGCCGAAAAGTATTGTGTTCATTACTTCACGTTCCGTAACTCATATTGGGCGAATCGGACCTGCTCACACAGTTAACGCCAGGGCAACGTATAGCATACATACTGACTACAGCGGTTAGTTATCGACGGGATTGTGCTTATTACACTCATTTTTAAAGACCGTTGTCGCGAAGGGCAATAACTGAGCAACGCTTATCCTACTCTCGCCAGATCAACTGAACTCAAAATACTGTTGTGGTGAAAAGTCAAGAAAATCATCGTAATTTTTGCTAACATGAAAGAAAGTACATCGCTTAATCGGAATGGTCTCCTCACGCAGCTATCTTGACGTTCATAGTATTATTATTATAATCATCCCGAGCCGCCTCTATCACATCTTTGTCGAGGGAACCTGTAGAAGTTCAAGGCCTATCTATTTTACTACAACTACTACCTTGACGTGGGTAAGCGGTCCACTTAGGTTCGTTGGTGAAGAGCCTCACAGCTTGAAGACAGGGGCTCTCCTCAGAGACGCAGAATCTGTGCCAGATTCCGGGAGGAAGAATCTATAGGGACGCTTACACAGAGAGAGCTCGAACTGACTTACAATCAGCGCGCCACTACCAATTTTAATCCTGATCCACTTATCATCCGCATCGCGGATATCGAAGTACCTACCCCGTATTTGGCATCGCTATATAACTTCTGTTACTACTACTACCCGACGCCATGGGTGATGAGTCTAATTTCCTCATCTACGTGGAGATGTTCAGTGAAGAACTTCACTTTAGTTTCCTCAGACAGATTAGAGCAATCAACTTGATCGAACGCCCCATATCTGTGATCGACGATTTACATACTTATCCAGCATTGGGAGATAACAACGTTTTCCGGGGTTTGATGACAAAGAGAAACGTCTACATGGGAAATTAATTGAATAATGTGTTCCTAGTCGTATAGAAAATTGAAAATGAGTTTCCCCCCGGGAACACTATAGGTTTCTGGATAGATATCTCTACCATCACTCACTTCCTGTCCTCTCTGATTTGCTGCAAATTAGAGTCTTCTTTTCATAGCTCGGAATTGGCAACCGCAGCAGCGAGTACCTCAGTGTTATGACACTCTCATTATGAGAGTCTCATAACACTATTGTTACAATAGTCGTGTGTATTATCACTCCAAAAGCAGCCAACTCTTTTTTTGCTAGTACTACTACTCCCACTACTACTACTTCATTCATTCATTCATTGAGCGCTTCAATCCAGCTAAGGGACAAGCGCGCTCCGAATAATAGTAAATTTATGCCATTTCCCTCTGTCCATGGCTTTCTCCCTGATGTTTCTCCATCTTCCTCCACGATCCTCCACATCCTGTTTGACAAGCTTCAACCACTTCGAATCAGATTCAATCTCCGATTCTATCCATTCTCTTTGAACCGCATCCCTAGGTTGCCGCAGAGCATGACCAAACCAACGTAAACGTCTCTGATTCATAATCTCCTTAACGGTAGAGCCTTCCAACCAGTCCAGTATTTCAGTCTCACCCACTTTACAATCGAACTCACCATCAACATCACCATTATTCGACTGGTTAGTGTTTCGACCCCACCTTATGATATTGCTAACCAATTTGTTGCAGCACCTTTGCAACCTTTCCGCATCGTTCTTGACGTACACCCAGGTTTCGCAATTGTATAGAAGAACACTCATTACGCAGCTCTTGAAAATACGTTTTTTGGTGGTGGCGAGAATTCCCCTAGCCTTCCAGATGTTTTTCAGATCGTTGAACACGCTGTGTTCAACACAGCAGTCGCCCTTCCAATTCTCCGGTTTATTTCCCTGGTTAGTTTTATTTTCGTTGTGAGCAAGGTACCCAAATACACCATTGACCCTACACATTTCAATTTCTGTCCCTCGACTAGTTGAATACAGACTTCCTCAACCTCTTTCTCAGAGAAAGAGGGGTAGTTAGAGAAAGTTTCTCTACTACCCCTCTCCTGTACTTCCCGACCATTCTACTCTTCCTCAAGGCTCTTTGCCTCTCGGTAGTGAGATCTGTATAACTAGCACACTGACCTAATCTAACATGCGTTTTGAGGGCTCTTTCACAATGAAAGGTACTCCCACAGGAAGGACACACCCACTTCTCTGTTGAGTCCGTTGCTCGGTCGAAACCAAGTTTCATCATCCTCAACTTATCCCCGTCCTCATCCACTATCCACCCCGCCTTCTTGACAATATACTTTACAGTGCTACCGTCATCATAAATAATTTCATGCGTGGGCTGGAACGAGGCATTCACATTCCCATCCTCTAGAGGCCTAAGCCATCCTTCATACGTACCGTCATCCCATTTCACCCCCACTCTTTCCTCACGCCTCTCAATCAGAACAATTTTGCTACTATCCGTACCTTTCACCATGGCCACTTTCTTCCCAGCATTTATCAAGAGTCCGACATAATAGGCAGCTGCTTGCAGTTCCTGCAGAAATATCTCCACGTCTCTTGCGGATTCCCCGGCAATATACAAATCATCAGCATAACCGAGCCATTCCACAACCAAACCTCTTTCCTGGCACGCTTTCAGTGCCGCTTTCAAACAATGATCTAATACCAATATGAATATCACAGGAGACAAGCAAGAACCCTGACGAACCCCTACTCTCTGGCTGAAAACATCAGAGACCTTACCATTTTGTGACACTCTTATAGCAACTCTAGCATCCGCATGAATCCTTTTTACTATATGGACCAGGAAAACTGGCATTCCAGCCGACTTCAAGACTTTCCACGAAGCTTCCCATGACAAAGAATCAAAGGCTTCCTGGAAGTCCACGAAGACTGATGCGATCTGGTTTGTACTCTCCCATTTCTTCCACCGTAGACGGACGGGATCTCTACAGCTGTTACCAGACGTGAAACCGAACTGATATTTCATTAATCGTTTCTCAGCAGCTTCCTTGATCCTATCTAATACAATTGCCGATATGATTCTTTCCAAATACGATAAAAGCGATATTCCTCGATAACCCTCAGGTGATTTCCTACTCCCTTTTCCTTCAAATAAAGTGATCAATACAGCTGTATGACTCTTCTCGGGCAACGGCTGTCCTCTCCAGAACCCTCTGATCACTACGCCCAACACCTTGGCAAGGTGGCAATGTTGCAAGGTGACCTTGCGACATTCCTCCGAATGCTTGAATAACTCAGAGGGAATCTCATCAATACCAACGGCTTTACCATTTCTCATTCGCTTACATAATTTCTCAATTTCTTCATCATCCGGAGCTGCAATAGACACCTCCCACGGCTCTCCTTCTACCTCGGCCAACTCCTTAGCAATGCGAAAGCCCCTCCTTTTCTCATATTCCTCGTTCCTTTCTACCTTCTGTTCACCCAATAATTCATTGAAGTGCTCTACAAATCTATCGACATCCATCCCTGTCAGATCCACACCCTTACTCGCTTTGCCTCCCAGCATTTTGACAATGGAGAATAACGCTTTTAGATTATGAATCCTAGCTGCTGCTTCAGCTTTTTCTGCCTGTTGATTCAACCAGTTTTTCTTATCCGTTGTACCACTACTACTACTACTACTACTACTACTACTACTACTACTACTACTACTACTACCTCCGCAGGTCGGCCTACGAGCAGTCTCAGCCAAGTGATTCAACCGGGAGAGGGGGGCGGGGAGAAGATAAAAGAACTTGCGACGCAACTGCGGAGTGGAAGATATTCATATACGAAGAGCTACTCATAACAGGGCCTGTAGTTACTACAGGCCTGTACTGTACAGGCTACGACATTCCTCCTAGATGTCTGTGGCGTTCGTACGTGTGCAGTACTGTAACGGTCTCCTTCGCTCACCGACGACACAAGTTACCGCACTCTCGATTTTGTTTGTGTGGTTGTGCTCGCACTGGTGACTCAGGTCTTGACTAGACCGTCTTGCAAGTAAGCTTGACTGTTCCATAACCATCACTTACGAGTACATGATGTGATGGGGCCGATTCGGCTCATGCATGGCACACCAAACGGTCCGGCCGGACGGGTCTAGCCAGTGCTGCACACGTCTCGCCAAGCGGCGACGTTGCGTTCAACACTATGCGTTGAGTGGTCCAGGTCTGGCGGAAGCACGAAGTTGTGCATCGCTTGTTAATTAGAGGTTAAATGATCGGTGGTAACACAACTGCGTTCCTTTAAGACGAAGAAGAATAAACCATCATGAAAGTGAATCAACTAAGTTGATTAAACTTCCATGAAAATTATCACTGCGCATCCTGAGTAATCCGATGGCAAATGAAGATATATTATCCGTGATAGAGAGTCTGATCAGACTGATGATAACTTATCATTGATAAGTCCTTGGAAGTTCCCATTGGCACATGGTGCCTTTTGCCAATCCCATTTGGTAGTCCACACAAACGGAAGAAAACAGTTCTATGCAGTACTGAATGAGACAAGCTGCATATCGGGAAAATTCTGACTAAAACCTACCTCGAACATGCCCGAACAGTCCAGAAGGCAGCGACCCAAAATGCACTCGACATCAACCCTTTCAGTTCCAGGAGCCGGAGGACAATCCGAGACTTTTGTGCATTCCTTAGCGCAGATCGCGTAGCCTATTTCACCGTCAGGGGTCTACATGGGAGAGGTCGAGGGCGCTTTCACGTGATCAGCCTACGCTGATGGCGAATTTGCTCTGTTGGTTCGGGCAATCACAGTTCCCGACCCTTCTTCCTCCGGACCAAGTGCAATCCGTGGGTTTGCCGTAGTATGGCAGACCCGAGTCCCACACCAGCCCACCAGTATCTGACATGAGCATACAGCGATCGCTACAGGATTCCAGATGCTCCTTCACCAGTATTCTGGCCCTGGTCGATGCTCCCGTCATACGACCTAATCGAACAATTACTTCGAGTTCAGTCAATGAAGTCGTAGCTGTTCTCACTGCTCGGGGGCTTCCACACTCAATTTCCTGATATCGTACCCGCTGCCCAAGACAGTGAACAAAGCGATGAGAAGAATGAAGGAGCACATGACGTATGCAAATATGCTATATCAGTGACTTATTGGCTATTCGGTCCTATTTTTATACTAGGCCGCAAACTCTAGGGAGACGGCTTTGCGTACTCCAGGGGTGGAGAGCCCTGGATGTTCAAACGTCTTCACAAACTAACAGAATTCGTGAATCGCAATTCATGCACGGGCGACCTGTGTACACTGAGAGCTGAAAATTAGAAACTTCAAATTGAACGAGCCGTGGAAATTGACTGTTTTTTCCTCAAACAGTGTCGATGTAGAATTCTAAGTTAACGAGTGCGAGCAGCCAACCTTCGGCTGCGCACAGTAACTGTGCGCATCCGTGCCATGTTCCCCGCCCCAGAGCGTGCCCCATCGGCTAATTGACTGCTAGATGCCATTATGGTCTCAAGGGAAATCAAAGGATACTAGCGTACAAACAAGTAAATCTCATGAGACGAATAAGGCTCGGGTGAGGCTAATCACCTGTCATACTGCACGTATATTCATTGTTCTACTCTGACCGCACAAAGCTGTGCACCGACAATCCTACTCGACATGCCCCCCGGATGGACGGGTATTCAAATAATGACATGCTAAGATGTCAGACTTATTAATAGGACCCTGATACGGACCCGCAAGAACAAGTTGCAGAGTGGTCCGGCCGACTTTGCCATACACACGATAGACTGTGGAACCATAGGAACCACCGCGACCGGAGCTATTAGGCTCGAACATTGTTCGAGTCGAACACTACTACTACCATATGACGGTTTCCGATCATGGAAGGTGGTTTGTGGCGACCCCTCCGAGGAAGTCCCTCGAGTGACGGCCTTATGACTAACACTGCTACTACCATACGGCCATTTCTCATCAAGGAAGGTGGTGTGTGGCAACTCTCTCGACTGATGCCCTTATGGCCGCCACTACTAATCCCATACGACCGTTTCCCATTAAGGAAGGTGGTGTGTGGCGACCCTCTCAAGTGATTGCCTTATGACCAACCCTACTACCATACGACCGTTTCCCATTAAGGAAGGTGGTATGTGGCGACCCTCTCAAGTGATTGCCTTATGACCAACCCTACTACCATGCGACCCTTTCCGATCAAGGAAGGTGGTGTGTGGCAACTCCCTTCGAGTGACGGCCTTATGACTAACACTGCTACTATCATACGGCCGTTTCTCATCAAAGAAGGTGGTGTGTTGCAACTCCCTCTCCTGATGGCCTCATGGCCGACACTACTACTACCATACGACCGTTTCCCATCAAGGAAGGTGGTGTGTGGCGACTCCCTCGAGTGATTGCCTTATGACCAACACTATTACCATGCGACCGTTTCCGATTATGGAAAGTGGTTTGTGGCAACTCCCTCCCATAGCATTTTGATGGGAATGAGGAAGATGCGAACTGATGTCGGCAGTGAATTCACATCGGCTAACGAAGGTGTAATCGACAATATCCAAAGTGAAATTCGATGATGATGATGATGATGATAATGGAGAACATGTAACGTTACTTTACCTCAGCCTTTTGAGTCGACTGCTCTAAAGGCACCGTTAAGCCCCTTCCTGAAGGACACTATTGATATAAAGAAGTCCTCATCACGCTTAAGCATGCGATTAACGAGAGGCACGGAAGATCTATCAAGTCCCTTCTTGTGGCTGATTAAGAAGAGACTGTCCTTTAGGCACCGGTAGTCGAGGAAAGCGGAGTAGTGCTAGAGGATCCTGCATGTATAGTATGGTTATCATAACAGGCAGGGAAGGGTCTGATCAGAGAATCAATGGTAGGAGAGTGAAATCTCGCACAGCGAAGATTCTATCGTTGCAGGGATATATGAACGTCTGGACGAAGACTACGATGGGCGACCAGTGTATATGAAGATGCAAGCGAAACGAGATCAGCTCATCTGTCGGACGCAAGTAACTCAGCAGATCATTCGAAAGATGCGAAACGATGTCGAACGAGTTAATAGGTACCCATCGATTGCTATTGCGTCATAGTTAGAGAATTCATAAGATCTCGCCGAGATTCGTAGAGCAAGTTCATGACCTCATGACGCGGATTGATTCTGAAATACCGCACACACAGCAACCCCAAGATCTGAGCCATAGAGATGGACAGATGCTGGATTATATATGGTAAGATGATACAGAGCAGCTGGACAGAACGCAAGGACAGTTACCGGGGACGACAGAAGTGCTGTGGGTGCAATGTTAGAGGAATATATGTTTACATATGACTTAGGACTCACATACGAGTTCGGGTAGAAATGTAGAGAATCCAACGAGAATTTCACAAGAATTTGTGTAGAGCATGGCATGGTCAGCATGCGTAATATGTCGAAGTCCAGGTTGGAGTGATGACTGGGCGTTCGATTGACGGAAGCAGTGAGGATATGAGAAATATGCAGGCAATGTACCAGGGTTTGTCCATTGGGAAAATGGGAAAAGTTTCCCTTGGGAAATTTCCCACTTTCCCGTTCCCGGAAAAACTGCCAGTTTTTCCCTTGGGAAAAATGCGAAAACACCTCGTTTTTCTGTCCCTGAGCAGCGTAAACTACGGGTCATACTCATAAAGCGATCATTTTTATCCCACTGTTCTTAAATATCCATAGTAAAGTGCAAAAGCAGTGTTCTAGCCGTGTGAGCGATTTTTCCCACCCTGGGCGCGCGCTTCTCCACAAATCTCTCTATAGCGCGCTTATCATCGAACATTACTCTCACGAAATCTGACTCAGTTTTAGTTATCCAACGGTTTGGGAGTCCAAAACTTCGATATATACGATATCAGTGTTGAGTTGGGACATTGTTGAGGGCCAGTTGGCCGCGACCAAATGAAAATGATGCCTGCTGAGATGTTGTCGTGCCTTCCAGCTGTTCCAAATACCAAACGCTTCGAGTGGACGTTGGCAAAAGTGGCATGTGTACTTCCATCCATCAGGGGTATAACACATCTGGTAGAAACCATCAGACTTTAACTCTCCCTTCGATGGGTGGTCCATCATGAGCGATAGACGTAGCGTTTCAAAAAGCTAACAGCGATGCGATGAACGAAGTCCCTAACGCAGTTAATCAATGTCCTGAATCTTCACTCAAAAACTTCGAGATTAGTTAGGATAAGGATCTCATCATACGTATAGACTATCCACTGATTATTTGAATAAACCTATGTAAATAGCTAATTGTAATGAAAAGCGCGCGCCACACCAATCGATTGATAGTAATAACTGGAACAATTAGTGAGAAATCATATCTAGGGTAAGTACGACATGGCCGCTGCCCTTGAAGACCACGAGAGCAGCATTAGGATGAGGACACCCTGTTCTATGACTATAGACAGCAACGGGTAGCAAGTTCTATGGTATTTGTCACTATTGATCGCCATTCTTGTAAGTTAAAATGTACCCTGTTGTGTACAAGTTGTAACTATTGATATGACAATTTCTTCATC